CATAAAACAGCATGTGTGTTACTGTTACATGAGAAACTATCTGTTCTGTAAGCCTTCACCTGAAGTACAATAAAATATTAAAAAAAAAGAAAAATATAATTTCTTTGTGTTACTATAATGAGGCAGGTGCCCCAGACCACAACTTGGTAACCCAGATCCTGAGAACACCTAGCAGCAAATAATTTTGCAGAATGTCATCTGGAGTTGGAGTTACAACACATCAAATAGAATTACCCTTTACTTCTATCCACTCCAAAAAGAGTGAAACTGTGGGAAAAAAATGATAGCCATATCTTCTTTTTACCATGAAGTTGTTATAATTGCAATGCACTGAGAAATGAGAGTACAGTCACGCGCTGCAGAATGTCCATCTGGGCAATGTCCAACTGCATGTATGTCTGTGGTCCCATACCACAGTAAACAGAGGTAGTCAAACATGTAAAAGCCTGAGAAGTCAGAATTAATAGGTGGAGAGCTGATTTTTTTTTCTTTCCAGATACGCAGTTTCAAATGCTGCTGAAAGGTCAAGAAATATGGAAAAAAAAAGTTACACTTACTGACAATGTCCATGCATATCTTGGCATCTGCTGTTTTCTAGTCTTTATAGTGTAAATTACTCTGAGAAGATGACAGGAGTTGGGAATTAGAGTATAGGTGAAGAACCCGGCCTAAGGCAGGAGGAACTGCATCTCTTTCACTGTAACTATGTAGAGGAAATTTATGCAGTTTTTGGTTTCATGGCTTCTATTTACTCTGAGAAGCAGAAGAGAGTTGAAAATGGAGCATTTGAGGAGAGTGGATGTTTGAAATTTCCACTGAGAAATTTGCGGCAGCAAGAGGCAAAGGAGAAGTATCAATTTGGAAGTGAAAGAAAAGGTTATTAAACAACATGAAGGTGGAAAATCAGTGCATGCTACTGCTCGAGACTTAGGCATGTTCACACTATGTCCAAATCACATCACGTTCTACTTCACAGAACATATCATGGATGTTAAGCAACGCATGGCTGTATATGTTTAAAGGATCTGATGTATCCAACATCAGCTATTAGTTAATAACATTTTAAGGGCTAGACAGTGATAGTAGAAAATGAAATTTAAATGAGAAAAAAATGGCAATAATGTTAACACCTGAAAATATACAGAAATACTCTTACCTGCTTTATTCCACAAAAATCAGCAATACTGCTTATCAGCTCTGACATTGTATGAACTTCATGAGACTTTTTCATATTCATAAACTCATCTGGCTTCACATTTTCACCTGACCAAAATAAAACAAAACAAAGATACTGCTATTAAAGAAGCACAATCCAATTTGAATGATCAGTTGATATTCATGTTTTTTGTAATTAAATATGAAAATAATATAGAGATTTTATTGTGGAATCTGGGTAATATATTCCTATTAATTTAGCTATTATGGATAAAATCTAAATTAAAATATTGAGACTCATACAACAATAACATTATTTAAAAAAGTTTTAGACACAAAAAGCAATTAACCATAAACAAAAAGATTGCTAAACTATAAAAGAAATTTTCTTCATCAAAAGACATCATCAAGATAGTGAAAAGATAAGTCACAAAGTCGGAGAAGATAATTACAATATGTATATCTACACAGAATTGGTATCTAGGAATAAAACAAAACAATACAAAAAATAAACTACTACAAATCAATAAGAAAAAGACCACTCGATAGAAAAATGGGCAAAAGATTTAAATAAGACTTACCTAAAATTAAATTAAATTACAAATTAAGTTCCTGAGTTTCACTAGCTGCATTTTAAATGCTAACAGCCACATGTGGTTAGATTTTACGCTACTGGACAGTTCAGTTACAGAACATTTCCATCATCAGAGAAGGTTCTGTCGGACAGCACTTCACAGTATAAGTAATACACTATAAAGTGTATAGAAATGGCCAAAGAGCTCAACATTGCCAGTCATTAGCAATATGAAAATTTAAATCACGTGGGAGAATGCTACATATCTATCAGAATTCGCTAAAATGAAAAGACTGACCAGCTAAAGTGTCAATGAGGATGTGCAGAAGGGGAACATTTAAACTCTGTAGGCGGGAGTATAAATTGAAACATCTGTTTTGTAAAAAATGTTTGGCAGTATCTTCTAAACCTGAACATCTGCGTATTTTATGACTCCCAGCAATTCCACTAGTAGGAATATATGTAACAGAAGTATGTACGGAGATGTGCACCAAAGACATTTACAAGAATGCTCATAGGTTCACTATTCCTAACATAGTAGTCCAAAACTGAAAACTCAAATATTTATCAACAGTAGAATGGAAATAGCACAGCAAATTTAAAAAAAAGAAATCAAACTTCTGCTACATGTGATAACATGGATGCATATGCAAAAAGAAACCAGACACAAAAGAAAATGTACTACAAAGTCTGAAAACAGGCAAAACTTCTCTGTGGTAGTAAGAGCCGTAACAATGGTTACCCTGGGGTGGGGAGCTGTGGTGGGGATGAAGCACAGGCTTTTGGTATGTAATGCTCTATTTCTTGAACTGGGTGGTGGTTTCATAGGTGTTTTCATTTTGTGAAAATTTTATGAATATTTACATAAAATATTTCTTGAATAAAGAAAATATTTTCCACATTTATATAAATACTAATATTCCAAATATATTTCCTATACACAGGCAAAGAATGAAAGTTTGAATGATAAAACAGAATCATAAACCAGACTGACACTATATTTATTCCTCTGAAACAGGGTTTTTGAACAACAGTGCTACTGACATTTAGGGAAGGATTAATTCTTTGTTGTGGGGGCTGCCCCATGTATTGGAGGCTGTTTAGAAGCATCCCTGGTATCTTCTCACTAGACAACCCTCAAGATAAAACAACCAAAAATATTTCGGGACATTGCCAAATGTCCCCTTGGGGAGGGGGAAAACTGCCCCCACGTGAAAACAACTACTTTAGAGTCTAGGATGGCAAAACAACTATTTATACTTCTATGCTCATGAATTTAGATTTTCAACCATCATTATCCATTGCAAACAGATGTAAAATACATTTCATTCATTTCTTGAGAAGACAGCACCATGGCAATTACTTGTTAAAACTATTCTTACGTTTGTACTATAGTATGTGTCATGTATAAGCCAATTCCTCTCTATTTCACTCTAATACTAAATTTAAAAACAAAATGCCTTTTTGGCAGATGTTAGAGCTCAACTAGTTGCTTCCCATATTGAAAGTAAAAAATAAAAGCAAACATGATGGGACAATAATCATCATTAGAGACAAATGACAAGCAGTCATACACAGTAAACTGTATTTTACATGAATACATAATTTTTATATGCATACATTCATCCTAAGCCACCCATCAAAATCCTTATTCTAATAAAAATAAATAGTTGAAGGTGAAAATACACATTTTCCAAAGGAAAAGATGACTCTGTATACTTAAGCAAAATTTGAATAAAACTATTAAATTTTTTTGAATAAGAAAATAGGCTCTCCCTTATACCAAAAACCACATACTGTATATAATAATTAAAAGACATAAAATATATCGAAACTTTACTGTTTAACCTTTTATTCCTTAAGCATATTCTTTAGTGAGATTTCTTCCAGCCAGGACATTTTAGAGGTACATTCTCTCTACGGAGCCCTGGTGGTGTAGTAGTTAAGAGCTCAGCTGCTAACCAAAAGGTCGGCAGTTCAAATCCACCAGCAGTTCCTTGGAAACCCTGTGGGGCAGTTCCACCCTGTCCTATAGGGTTTCTATTGACTTGATGGCACCTAACAACAACAACATTCTCTCTGCTTTTCTCTTAAATTATCTTCAATTCACCTTCACATCTGAATGTTGATTTAGCTGGATATGGTATTCTAGATTGATGATTATTTTCAGCACTTTAAAGAGCTTTACCATTGTTTTTGGGTCTTTGTTGTGGCTGATGAGAAGTCCACGGTAGTTTATTGTTCTTTTTAGGTAATCTATGTTTTATTGCTCTGGTTCTTTTTATAATTATTTCTTGTAAGTTTTGCATTTTCAACACATTTTTAATTTGTTTTGTTTGGGCTTTCTTTGACACAGAGATCTTTTTCTTTCTTAAATTTTGGAAAATGCTCAGCCTCTGTGTTTTCAAATATTAAGTCTCTCCATGTTTCCATTCAGATATTTGATGAACCTTCTCATACTAGTCTCCATGTATATTAGTTTCCTATTGCTGCTGTTAACACATTACCACAAGCTTAGTTGCTAAAAACAACATAAACTTGTTATGTTATAGTTCTGGAGGTAAGTAGGCCAAAACGGGTTCATTGGGCTAAAATAAGGTACTAGCGCTGTGCTCCTTTCTGGAGTTTCTAGGGAATAATCTGTTTTCTTGCCTATTCCAGCTTCTAGAGACAGCCTTCATTCCTTGGCTCATGGACCTCTTCCACCTTCAAAACCAGTAATGGTTAGAAAGTTTCCCCTGCATTGCATCACACTGACTCTGACTTATCTACCTCCCTCTTCCATCTTTTAAGGATCCTTGGGATTACATCGAGTATATCTGAATAACCCAGGGATAAACTCCCTATTTTAAGGTCAGCTGATTAGCAACCTGAATTCCATCAGCAACCTTAATTCTCCTTGCCATGTAATATAACTATTCACAAGTTCCTGGGATGAGGAGATGGACATCTTTGGAGGGCCATTATTCTGACTACCACAGCATGGTTCTCCCCCTCCACCACTCCCAAATAGCTGTTTATTGGCAGAGTATCAAAGAGGTAGTATACAAAGATAATACTTTAAAACAATGCTGAGAGGGGAAGCAAGAGTGATGGAAAGGACAGACTGGAGCCCTGGGCAGGGTGGCCTTTTTCACCAGGAGAGAGATGAAGTGGGAAACGGGGTTAGGGAAGGAGACCTGGAGAATATAGGACTAGTTGGAAATGAAGACTGACTTGCTGTCTAAGGTGTCAGCTTCGCCACCAGTATACTTTCCTTAACAAGCAAAACTGTTATCCGGAGCTTGCTTGACTTATTTTTCCTGGGCAACTTCAGACATTTTCTTCCTGCTCTGGACCATGAAAATAAGATCTCAGAGTCAGGCTATGCCAGAGGATAAAATCAGAGTTGATAGCTTCTGGTGGTGGGGGAGGGGAATAGAGGGTGAGGAGTTGCAGTGTAGGGTTGGGATGCTCATTATGGCATGACAGTCTTCTCATTGAGAACATCTGGGTGCAAGCTTAATCCAAGTTCACTGCACTGGGAAACTGGGTTTCAACAACATCTCTCCAGATAGAAGTGGTGGTCACTCAGGGTCCTGTAGATGGCAGCTGGCACCTTTTTGGTAACGTACTGATGGCACCGTAGGACATGGTCTCTGTCAGGGTGGTTTAGATTCCATAAAGCACACAATGCCATTCTTCTGGAAGATACTAGCAAACCAATATGTTGAAGTGCTCCAGTATGGGGGATACAACTGCTCCACAGTCACTTATTACCAACATGCACCCCTACATGGCTAAGTCACCTCTCTCTTCCTTATACAGAGCATACCACATAGTCCATACAGACCTTAAATGGTGGTCTTGCTGTTTATTCCTACCAGGGATACAACACCCTTGTCCATCTTGATGCCCATAATGCTGTCCATGCACTTTATAAATCAGTGGGAGAGGAAAATTTTTTCTGCCTTATGGTAAAGTATTTGGTGAATGAGGATGATATCATTAATGCAGAGATTCACTCAGTTATTGCCAGTCAGCAGCCACTGGGAATAAAGTACTAGTTCTCCTCAGTGTTTTGGGTCCAATGGACTATAGCCTCTTGGCAATGTTGCTGATGAACTCATTTGTAGCCAGAATTCCCTTACCAAGAACCATGATTCATCAAAAACTCGCCTTTTTTTTTTTACACCAGGGGAACCACTATGAAATAAATTTGCTTAAAATGATTCGAGAGATAAAAGAAGAAATACAAGTAATTAAGAATAAGACTCAAAGGGGAAAAGTTCCCTTTACAATGGAGAGGTCCAGTGGATCCATCTTTACCAAGTGAGCAAATTTGGCATCACCAATAATGGAGAAGTATTCAATACGCTTCCTGATGTAATGCACTGAAAAGGACACAATATCACGTAAGTGGTATTCCTGTCAAAAATGGATAACCTGAATCTAATTATGCAAAAACAACAGGCAAACCTGGCTTATATGCAATAAAGTACCAGTGTCAGGAGAAACAAAGTCTGAGAAATTATTTCAGATTAAAGGAAATTAAAGAAATATGATATCCAAATGTCATGTGTGAGCTTGAATTGATTCCTGTATAAAGAAAAAAAAAACTGCTATAAAGAATATTTTTGGAAAAACTAGAAAATAGACTGCTTGTTAGATAATATTACTGTATTAATATAAAAATCCTGAATGTGTTCGTGTACTCTACAATATGTAGGAGAATGCCCTTGTTCTTAGGAGGTACAGGCTGAAGTATTTGGGGGTAAACTGTCATGTTATCTGTGATTGATTTTCAAAGACTTCAGAAAGAAAAAAAAAAAAAAATGTGTGTATGTGTGTGTGCAGAGAGAGAGGAGAAAAGCAACAAATATGGCAAAATGTTAACAGTTGGTGAATCCAGATGACATATATACAGGGTTCATTGTACTATCCTTGCAACTTTTCTGTAAGTTTGGAATTTTTCAAAATAAAAATGTGGGGAAATAATGAGGATCAAATGAGATAATGAATATGAAAGAGCTTTGTGGATGATAAAACATAATACCAAAGAGAATCTGAGATTCGTTATTATTAATATTAAAGCTGGTTCCTCACCTCAGCATTGAGTAGTTTAACTTTTTTTTTTAACCAAATTGTCTAATCTCTGCCTTTTAATTGGAGTGTTGAGTCTAGTTACACTTAATATAATTATCGATATGGTTGGGTTTTCACCTACCATGTTGCTGTTTGTTTTTTATTTGTACCATCCCCACCTCCATTGTTATTTGTTTCTTATTAGTACCATCCCTACTTCCTGACACCCATCTATCTCCTCCATATCCCCAACCACTCTCCTCTACTCCCCCTCTACTTTCCTCATCTTCCTCCCAAAAAACTGGCTTGTGGAGAACATCAGCCCACTGTAATAGTGCCCACCAAGTCAGCAAAAAATGAACGTAAGGATTAGAATCTATAGTAGTCACTGCAATCTGTGTTTTGAGGGCAGGAACAATCTGAACTAAGGATTACCAAGGACTAATGAAGGAAAAATACAGAGATCTATAATTGTTCTGCTACTTATCTATGCACAAGTTAATTTATGAGAGTTCATGACATAAGATCTGACAATGAATTAAGGATACACTGGAAAGATGAATAACAATATATAGCTTCTAAGTACATAAACACACACACATACCAGTTCTCTGCTTTTGATTTCCTTGAAGGGCTACAAGCAACTGTTCAAAAGGAGTACATACTCCCAAGTTTTGTAGAGAATAATATTTTGCAGCCAGAGCAAAGCCTTCTACATTCACCAGCTTCTGAGAAGTTCCACAAAATATTTTGGATAAATCAGAAATACCTAAAAAAAATCAGAATAGAAAGAAAAATGTTAATAATATTAAATAATTGATAGGTAATTTATATGAAATTCAAAAACAAAAAATAAAAAACACGTATCTTGTACAAAATATAATATTTTCATTTTGGTTTGAATTTTGGCAATATCTCATGGTTCCATTTATCTTTGCTATTTAAACAATTAGCTATTTTTAGCCTCTGATTTTTTCTTAATATTGTATAAAATTATATATTTAAGCTCCCAATTAAAATCTGACACCCTCTTTTTTTCCAAGAGACCCCTCCCTACCAAAAAAAAAAGTTCAAAATCTTGCTAAACAGTAATGTAGCCATTAAATTTAACTGAATTTAAAGGTGGTCAGCCTGCACAACTGTAAACTGTTATTCCTATCTATGCTGCATGTGGAACAACAGTAACATCCCCAGTGGTATTAATGTTACTGTAAAATAGTTCCTCCCTCATTTGGACCATGTAGAACTGTTGTGTGTGGGGATATGAGTGTGTTCAATGCATTGTCAATATGAGTTCTCAAACGAATCAAGTGCAAACAGCTCATTTCCTTCCCATAACCAATTTTAAACTACACATTCTAAGTTTAGTAATATCAATAGTTTCCAAATGCTCACTCATTTAGAATAATATGGTAGACCATCTTACTGTTCACAAACATCCAGTACCCCTCTCTATGTGAAGATCTTATACCCTGTTGATTCAGGTATGAGATCACATCTTTCCTAAGCAAACTATGTAATTTTCATGTATAAGATTTTCAAGTATCAGAAGATCCATTACTCCTTCTTTTCCTAGCTCTTTAAGTATAGAAGTATGTGTCAAGATGGAACCTCCTTCAGCTTGAGTCTCTGAGTGAGTAAAACAAGGGCAGCATTCCTGCCAACTTACAATGGTCATGTAGCTTATATGAAAAATAAACTTTGTTGGTTTTAGTCATTGAGTTTTTACGCTTATTACTGCAGCATAATCTGGTCTATTCTAAAGGATACACACAAGCAGACTTAACAGATTTGCTTTTCATTGCTCAGCTGCATCTTTCTATGGTTATCTGTAAGGCACGTTAATTCATTTAAACCAAAAACCAAACCCGTTGCTGTTGAGTCAATTCTGACTCATGGCAACTCCATGTTTTGCAGAGTAGAACTGCTCCATAGGGTTTTCTTGGCTCTAGTCTTTACAGAAGCAGATCACCAGGCCTTTCAAAAAAAAGGCATTCTAATTTGTCTGTAGTAGTTCAAAGAAACTCTTTTGATGGAGAAGACGTTTAAGTCTACTCTTTGAAAATTGTTTTTAATAATGCAAAAAACACACATCTAGTGCTTAAATGGAGCCCTGGTGGCACAATGGTTAAGAGCTTAGCTGCTAACCAAAAGGTCAGCAGTTTGAATCCACCAGCCACTCCTTAGAAATCCTATGAGGCAGTTCTACTCTGTCCCATAGGGTTGCTATGAGTCAGAATCGACTCAACAGCAATGGGTTTTGTTTTGTTTTTGGTTTAGTGCTTAAATGAATTATGTAAAATGTTCATCCTATGACAGCATGGTGCAATCCAGGGAAAAATTTTGGTTCCATCAGAAAAACTATATTATATTCTATGACTCTACTCTAGCATAGCTGATCCTCTACAGTCACTTATGAAATTATAAAAATCCATTTAAGCACAAAGAACAATGATGCTGCCTAACAAAAATTAAAAGCAAGAAAACCGGCAAATGTTTATAGAATTCTAAGTAAAAACTGCCTGTCTAAGCTAATATCTTTTTAAAGCTAATGTCTATTAATTTAAGACCCCGGAGTGGCACAAATTGTTAAGCGCTCAGCTACTAACCTAAAGACTGGTAGTTCAAATGTACCCAGCAGCGCCACAGAAGAAAGGCCTGGTTGATCTGCTTCCATAAAGATTATAGCCAAGAAAACCCTACAGAGCAGTTCTACTCTGTAACACAAGGGGTTGCCTTGAGTTGGAACTGACTTAATGGCAATGAGTTTGGTTTTTTATCTGTTAAGTTGGTGGTGGTAATGTTTACCAAAATTGTCAAAGATGTGTAACTTTCATTTCTGAATCAACTAAATAAAAATTTAAATTACAAAATTAGATGATGAATTTATTTATGATATACTTTATGTATTACATACTTTTTTTGGACATTTGGCAAACTGAATTTACTAATACAGCCAAAAGTAATAAAACCCACATCAAAATATTTAGGCATGATACAGAAGGGAAAACTCATTTACTCAAGTGAGACTCTTAGGTTTAAGGGCAGTCTCAACATCCCCAGGTTCCAGGGCAGCGATTTCTAAGAGTGTGATAGAATGAGAGCATTAAATCTCAACTTGCAGAGGGACTATTATAGTAGTCAGTTATTGGACAATGTTGCCAACAGAAAGAATGTGATGTTTCTGTTGGAAAAGTAAAGCTTCCAGTCAATTTAACTATGCTTAAAGAAAATATCTGAAAAAAGTCTAATCTATTCTGAATTAAATGTTATTATTTTGCTTTTAATTACAGGCCTGTAAGTAATTTCAAAAATTTAGAGATCTAAATTACAGACATTATCTTTTTAACAATAATTACTTTTTAACAAAAGCATAGTGTTTTGATTCAGTACATTAATTTATGTCATTTAGGGCTGGCACCAGTTTGCTCAGACAGTCTAGAATGCCATGAAAAACAATCTTTTTGAATTATGGAAATATAGCTGCTGGACTTTTTTTTGTTTTCAACTGAGCCTGCCTGTAACTGTTGTTACATGCTATTTTTAGAGATTCAGAGAGAGAGGTGTCAATGATTTATCTTTACTTCCATCTCTGAAACAGCATGTGAGAAAAGTTATGTGACAATGACAACAGTGTATATAGTCCTCACAGTGATTCCCTAGGTACTTGCATAATGAGATTGGGTTTTGCAACTGGATAAAACAGCAACCACAATGTTACTCAGTTTATATTTATACAGTTAATTCTAATTTAGCTAAATTTTTTATACACGAAAGCTTGTTTTTTGTTTTTTTTTAATTCACTGACCATTAAATCTGCATATTATGTGACCTGATTATTTTGCCAATATCTCCCTCCACTGGAAGTGCCTGCTCTGCTTTATTACATGTTTACTTGTTTTCTTTATTTACTCTTACTTTTTGTACATTCTATCACTGTTTCACAGAAGTTTCTTAGAAGATAGTTAACTGGGTATGAGGGATCAGGTGAAGTAAGAGGCAGGGGGAATTATTTTCTATCAATACGTTACATCTATATCTATATTTTCTATAAATATGAAATCTCATATTTCAAATCAAAGTATATCTCTAAGGATCTTTTTTTTTTCCACACCAGAAACGAACATACAAAGAAAGATAGAAAAGTCATATATTAAAAAGTCATGCATAATAAAATTCCAAAAATAAAAATAAAAACAATCAATGAACTATAGTATTTACATTTAATAAAAATAAATTTTCAAAAGTAAAAAGTCTACAGCTTTACTTGAATGTTATATAGCACTTTAAAGAAGACAGAATACCATTAGAGTTCACAATAACTCATCACTGCTATCACTAACATTTATTGTACGTAGACTATGCGTCAGGCATTTTACATTTAACCTAACAGTCTTATGAGCCAGTTACATAGTGCTTTTATCCCCATTTTAAAGAGGAAAAATCTGTGATAGTTTGTAATTTACCAAGTTCCCACAGAAACTAAGTGGCAGGGCTTGTAAACCAAAGTAGTTTGACCTCAGACCGTGCTCTTAATTCCCACATTTGATTAATACGTCATAGTGGTTAAGTGAGCCCTGGTGGCACAATGGTTAAGAACCTGGCTGCTAACCAAAAGGGCGGCAGTTCAAATCCACTAGCTGTTCCTTGGAAACCCTACAGGGCAGTTCTACCCTGTCCCATAGGGTCGCTATGAGTCGGAATCTACTCGATGGCACATAACAACAATAAAAGTTAAGTACAGTGGACAATAAATGGAATCAGGCAAGATAGCCATTAAGAAAAGCATTAGCGACACCTGACAGAATCTGGTCTGACAAGAATTCCCTCTGGCAGAGACAAATGTATGGTAACAGCTCAAGATATTTGACACTTGCTTTCTTCATCTACTTGATTTGTTCATTTTCTTCACTCCCCTAGACATCTCTCTCTCCATCAGAAGTGATCTTAAAATTTCAAGAACTTAAAAAGTGATTCTTACTTATAAAATAACTGGCAAATCTCTGCAAAGGGAACAAAGGAGTTTTCATGATAAGATTTTGTTGTGGTATCTAGTTCTAGAAACAAAGTAACATACTGTTTCATGCCCAGCTATAAAGCAACAATACCTTGTACACAGCAGGCACTCAGTTAATAGACACTAGATGAATATATAAATGAATGAATGAAAGCAATCCCGCAATACATTTAGTACTGCAGCATCACCAGCTACACAGGGAGAAAGAAAAATTCTAAAACTCTGTAGTGGTAGTAATCACTGAAGCCACCTGGAGGACTTCAATAGCACTGTTAAACCAAACCCGCTGCCACAGTTGATTAGCACTGTTAGAGGAGCATAAAACCTCATCTCAGCTCTAATGTTTATAATCCAGGGTGAGACAAGAGTACTTTAGAACACTTAGAGTACAATATAAGATAAAATGTAACTATGTGACAAATTTTGAGGTTTAACTGTGTTACAGGGGTTACAAGAAAGGTCACTATTATTATCACACAGCCTAGACCTGTCCCATGGCCTAGCATTTCTTCAAAAGAAAGTAATCTCCCAATAAGGATCTTCATAAGGACATAGAAATATTTTGTATTCACTTCTGCATGAATGCCCCACATATGTCTCCAATTCAAAAGGTTCAAAACCGAACTGAATGGTCTCATTCTGTTGAAACATTTCTCTTCTATTTCCTATCTTTAATGGCTTCATCACTCAACCAGTGCCAAAGTTAAAAGCCTTTACATTATCTTAAGTGATTCTTGTGCCCTCAATCTGCA